TTACGCAGATTTAATATTTCTCATGGTAAAAGACATGATATTCGTAGTCAGTTTAAGCCAGATTTGGGAGAAATATGTCGTGCCGTTTTTAAATAAACAATCATTTATTCGTAAGTTTGTAACTAAAATAGGACAAATCGGGCACTCTACAAACACTTGTATAGAACAAAAACTAAGGCTCAGAAATTAACCATTCTGACGAAGAAAAAATCTCAAGACATTGAGATTTTAGTACATCAGTGTAATGGGTTTGAGAAAATTAGCTTTTAAGTTTCAGAACACATACAAACTTGAAAAAAACGATGATTCAATTGTTTCTGATGTATCTATTCACGGGAAATTAATTTCCAATTCGGCATTCAGTTGACATCAATATCGTGATTAGAATTCAATGGGAAAACATAGCGAGGAAGAGAAAAGGTGCTTCAAGAGTAGATTTTAACACCTTTCAAAAGCAGTTTTCATTATCATTTTAAAACGTACCCTACCCTCAAAATAATTCAAAATAAAATATTTCGAAGTCAAATCAAGGAAAACACCCAAATGGTGGGACAAATGAACCAGTTTTATGATAATTCCAATAACTCCATTACCTCAAAAATTGACGAGAACCTGATTCCACTGCGTAGAGACAAATATGAAAAAAAAATCAGGCCCTGGAAAAAATAATGAAGTCAAAGGAAATCGACAATTTTTACCATCTATTGGGCAGTTATTAATCGATTTAAAAAGATTTCTTTAATGTTCATGAAAAACGTGGAGTTTAACTGAAAAACGCTTTTCAAGCTCATAAATTTTAATTGGTCGCTTTTAAGGACAAGTGGGCTAACCCAGATTTCAGGAGTTTCCAGAAATCTTGACCTTCTCCAAAAGTGGGCATTGCCCTACCTATAGGGGAAGTTTGGCTTCATTTGGGTGTATATTTGTTTGGTTTCAGGGAAAACTCACCTTATCTTTTAAAAAACTGAACAAGGGTCCAAAAACGTAACCTTCGATTTTCTCAAAACTGCATTTTTCGGGATAGCCCACTTGTCCTTAAAAGCGACCAATTACAAATTAACAGTTTCAAAGGACTCTTCATCTTTGGAGAAAACCAAACGTTGGCAACCTTTTTCTCGCTAATTTTACCGTTAACTCCATGCGACCCCCACCTCCTTTAATGGCAAACATTTCTACTTCTATTCTAGATAGATTTGTATATCTTCCATTTAAAATAAATGTCCGGTGTGTTGACAAAATGAGTTACTTATCGCTGTCCAAGAATGGAGACATCGGCCGAAAATCGACACTGCCGTCAGATGTATAGATTTCTAATTGATGCCATTTTGTTCAAGTCTACTGTGTCTTTTATTGTTTATTTTTATATTTTTTATTACAAATTGTACAAACTCCACCTGTGAAGTTAATGTATTAATTTCCATAAGGCTAAAATCGGAGAAGTAACTCTTTTTGTCAGCACAACTCACAAATGAACAAGCTTCAAGTGGTAGCAATTATAATTCCGTTTGCCCTCAAATTGACGAGTGTCTGTTTTTACCGCACTGTGATGCTAGTCACAATAAAAACCAATACAAGCTCTTTGTGGGAGCACCAAAAGAAGTACGTTCTCTGGAAAAGGGGCTATTCTCAGGGCATCTGAAGCGACAAATGAGGTATTTTTTTTCTGTCTCGTCAGTTACTGAAACTAAACACGTCACAGAATTTGCATGACGTATTTTTTTATGACAGCAACTATGTATAAAATTATATTTATGAAAGTTCGTCACTTTGGTCGCTTTTAACTTCCGAACACTTAACTTTCGAATATGAAAAAATTAACGGTGTTTCAGAATCATTTAATACTTTGCCATCATATTTTGGGGGGAAATCCAAAGAAACTGGGTTGTAAACATCGCCAATCGTGGCAGTTATATTAAGGAGTCTGAAGTCACTGTAGTTTCATTTTCAGTTTATCATTAGTTCCGTTTAAATCTAATCTTGGGAAAGTCCGTCTTCTAAGCGAGGCTTCCCTTCATAAGCAAAGCGCAGTTTCCACAATGACTTGACAATCGTTTCTTTTAAGTTCGTTCATCTAGCGGGCACCCAGCTAGTTTAATATAATTCTTAATATGTGAGGCAGTGTAGTGGAATCAGGCTCTCGTCAAAATAAGCAAAGTGAAGAAACTTGCATTTTCCCGCAGGTTTGTGAATTTTTATCACATTTTTTTTTCGTTCAACACCTTTCATGCCCAATAAAGAACTGATTTCTGTGTGGATATTCTTTAAAACGTTTATTAAAGGTACGAAAAGTGTATATTTTCAGTTACGACGGACTCTTAAGCTAAGGAAATAACTAATCTTTGGCGGCCATTTTCTCACTAATTTTACCTCTGAAAACAGGTGACCCCCCACCTCCTTCATTCGCAAATATCTCGACTTGTATTCTAGATAAATGGATATTTTTTTCATCCAAATGAATACAAGTAAACAAGCTTGAAGATGATAGCAATAACTCTACATGCCCAAAAATTGACGAGAGCCTGATTCCACCACGCTACCTCACATATGTCTTTCAAATGTTCTCATAATTTAAAGTTGAAATAAATTATTGTAACTAATCCAAATATGCCGTCAATTCAGTTACTTGGGAATAGCCCATAAAAAACATCACCCAAACAACTACAATACTGGTAAGTTTTCTTTTCAGTATACAAAGACGGTTGTTGGAGGGCACCGCTGGTACGTCCTACTTCTTTTCTATTCCTCTGCTGTTTCTGTCTCTATATCTTACTTTTTTCCTTCACGAAATGCAGGCTAATGTGTCAATGTGTGTGTGTGTCCCTTTATTCAATTAAACATTAAATACAAAACACTGACGATGACATTGATTTGTAGAAAGCAGAAATCCACAAAGAAAGCAAGTTTACTAACAATTAGTCACGATTTGCGTGTTATCGTAAACTATATTATTATGACAAAGAGTAGCTCTAGAGGTGTATTATAAGGACATTCAATAATATTCTAATACAGTGTACAAAGTGCAAAATTGACATGCATTGCACAGAAGTTAATTTGACATTATAAAAATGATTATTTATCAATATAAGCGGTGCTCTGTGGTGTGTTTTGCCCCTTCTTTCCTATCAAACACCTATCGTCCTTATCTCCCGCCCTTCTTTTTTTGTGTTTGTTACTCTCTTGTTACACCTCTAATCTTCGACACTCTTATGACCTTATTGTATTGCAAGTGCTGAAAAAATCTTACTAAAAACTAAAATATGTATTTCCACTATGGAAATTAATTTAATAACCCCTTCCCTACGCTACCTGTGTCTTCCCAATCACCTGTTTATTTAAATTACTAGATTACCCGTTGATGTGCTATGAATACCCAGTTAGGCGATACTCATTATCTATTTAGATAAATTCTAAAAACACCTATTGGTGGGCCTATATGACTACGCAGTTAAGTAACCCCGACTACCCATTTACAATACTAAATTACCCTTTGGTGGGCCTATAACTAACCAGCTAGGAGATCCCGATTTCCTATTTAGATTTCCAAAATTAACCATTGGTGGGCCTGTGACTACCCAGTCAGCTGATTCCCATTATCCATTTAGATTTCCAAAATCACTTATTTGTGGGCGATATAGCCCAGGCTGGCATTAAGCACTGATATATATATATATATATATATATATATATATATATATATATATATATATATATATATATATATATATATATATATATATATATATATAATATATATATATAAACAATATTATTATGTACAGACATAAATACAAAGTATAAACACATGTAGGCTACTTTATTATGTAATTCTCAACAAGAATTTTTCAGTCTCGGAATGTGTAAAGTATCATTTTACATCAAACCTAAAAATCTTAACTTTAAAAAATCCAGCTGGCAATGAGTTATAATTGGGGATTTAAAAAATGTTTTCGCCAATTAAAAAAACAAACAAAAAACAAACAAACAAAGCATTCCAGCTCTCTAAAAAACGATCGTCCATTGGCAGACACAGTAAAAAGTTGACAATGCAAAGATTTCTGTCAACATCGAGAGATACATATCTACAATCCAAAGTCTTAATAAAATATGACGAGCTGTAATAATAACAATAATAATAATAATAATAATAATAATAATTATAATAATAATAACAACAATAATAACAATAACAACAATAACTGTATTTATTTAGCACATATTCACACTGTACAGCAAGCTTATGCAAATTACAAAATTATTATCATCATCTCTGCAGATCTTAGAACACTCAGAAACATTCTCGGCTTCCAAGGAAGCATACAGTGCAAGCAGCCGATTGGGCGCTGGAACTCTAACCAACTGGCAAGATATTTCCAGGTCTATAGAATAGGAAGCTGTAGCAAAGTATGAAAGGATCAATGAAAAAGAAGTAGTAAAGTGTTACAAAATCATGAAATAATTAATTAGAATGGTGATATGTGAGTCAACGTGATGGAATCAGGCTCTCGTCAAAATAATTAAATCAAATAAAACAGCAGTTTTCTCCCTGCTTGACAATTTTTATAAAATTTTTGTTTTTTGGCTCAACACTTTTAATGTCCATTTACAAACACATTCCTTTGAGGAATTCACCGAAAACGTTGATTAAAGGCACAAAAATATAAATTTACAGTTTCCATGGACTCTCCAGCTTTGGAATTTACCAAGCTTCGGCGGCCATTTTCTCGCTAATTTATCTCTTAAACCAGGTGACCCCCACCTCCTTCAATCCAAAATATCTCCACTTCTATAGAAGATGGATGGGTAATTTTTTCATTGAAAGCAAGACAAATGAACAAGCTTTAAGATGATACCAATAACTCTACATGTCCAAAACTTGACGAGAGCCTGATTCCACGACGCTGCATCACATATGAGTGTTTGCTGTGCGCAAGTTTTTGCGTATTACAGACTTCAACATAGATTAAGGACCACCTTGACAGACAGTCCGGATATTTTTTTAATTTCCAAAAAAAAAAGACAGCAAAGAATATTTCAAAATATTTTGCTCTGAAAGTGTTAATGGGTTAACGTTGCGTACTGCAGAGCCTCCTAACGGGGCAAAACCACAACGTGCAGCACGGATGGTAATCCTCGAGGACTTTTTGCCAAATTTGCAAGTGGTCCTTTGATATGAGCTGTGAGAGAGCACGGTTTTCTAAGAACAAGGAAGTGAATTGGAAACCGTGTGAGTTTTATCCAAAACCACAGCAGACTGATCTGTACAGCTTAAGAAGTCTTTTTGTGGGAGGGGAGGGTGTATGGTTGGTTTAAGGGGGGGGGGTGTTGGAGAGATAGGAGGAGTTGGGTTAGTGGGGAGGAGATGGACGTTTTAAAAATGTATTGTTATTTTTTAAGGAGGCGGGGGACGTGGGAAGGAACTGGAGCGGTTGTAAAAAAAAGGGGGGGGGGGCAGGCAAGAGGGAGAGGGGGTTGCGTTAATGCAAGGCATGAAAGTCGACTTTAGAGCTGCCTGTTGATACATGGGCATTCTTTCTCATAGGCTCTCTCTGAAATTAGAAAATTAATACAACCATGAACGAGAGTATACAGCAGAATACATTGTGGCTTTCAAGGACAAGCGGGCTAACCTAGATTTCAGGGGTTTCCAGAAATCTTGACCTGCACCAAAAGTGGGCATTGCCCTTCCTGTAGGAGAAGTTTGGTTGCATTGGTGTATATAATATTTGTTTGGTTATAGAGAAAACCCTCCTTGTCTTTTAAAAGAAACTGAACACGGGTCCAGAAACTTAACCTTCGATTTTTTTCAAAACAACTTTTTTTAGGGATAGCCCCCTTGTGCTTCAAAACGACCGCATGACAATGTATAGGTTTAGCTAGACTGAATTTTACTAGACACTGCTTTGAGGGGCTGTCTTAATCCTGTACTAGAAGGTGCAGAAGCGGAACTTTCTAAAATATACCTTTACTAGGAGGAGCAGAAGCGGAACTGTCTAAAATATACCTTTACTAGGAGGTGCAGAAGCGGAACTGTCTAAAATATACCTTTACTAGGAGGTGCTAATGTCACTAAAAATGTCTTCATGAAGAACTCACGGTTATATTCTTAATCCTTTGCCCATTTATATGAGATTGACGCCATCTGATTGGTTAAGTAGAAAAACGTGAGTATGGTAGTGTCTATAGTGTACTACGTGGATACTTAGTATTACAAATAACTGTTATAGCAGATAGAGATTCCAAAATTATAGATGTAAGTCATTGATCTGAGAACGGTGATGATTTTAGCTATAATAGTGAAGGTGATGGGATTGCGTTTAAGTAATGTTAGCGTTAGTCCTATCTTCCTCTGCTCCAATGAGTCATGAGGGACGTGGGCATCCTCTATTCCGTTCCCTACTGGAACCATCTTTACGGTTACCGTGAAGTTCCGAAGAACTCACTGTTATTTATTCCTCCTTTAGAGGTGGTATAAAGAATTACATGTGATTTCTTTTTTAAGTCTCTAAAAACTGTAAGAGATGCTTAAAGAATACAAAATTCCACCTACCGTAGTCAGAGGCTTGGCCACGTTTCTTAATAAACTGAAAGAAAATTAATGGGATCTTATGAATAACACATAGAACAATAATTATAATCATCATCATCATCATAATAATAATAATAATAATAATAATAATAATAATAATAATAATAATAATAATAATAATAATGATAATATAATAATAATAATAATAATGATAATGACAATAATAATAACAATAAAATGATTATAATAATGATGATGATCATGATGATCATCATCATTATTGGCCTCCCCCTTTCTTTTCCCACCTTCCTCTTCTCCTTCCCTCCCCCCCCCCTCTTCCGCGTTCCCCCTCCTCCTACCTCTGTTCCTCCTTCTTCCTCCCCCTATGTGTATACATATAGACACAAAGGGCCAAAAGGATGTATTTGAACAGGTTACTGTTTTCATAGTAATACATTTTCTTCATTGAAAAATGTTCACCTTTTCCATACACACACACACACACACACATACACACACATACACACACACACACACACACACACACACACACACACACAAAACACACAAAACACACACATAAACACACACGAAACACACACACATAAACACACACATAGATACAGAGGACATATAAAGAGGTAAGAGAATAGATATATATATATATATATATATATATATATATATATATATATATATATACCTAGTATATACATATATATGTACAAACAATAGTTATAAAATAAATAATAGCTACAACATAAACAATAAAAACAGACACCACTACAAAACAAACAAACAAACAAACAAACAAACAAACAACTGTCGAACAACAATAACTTTTTAGGCAGCGAGTTTGCAGCTCGCAATGTTCACCATAATGTCATTTATATCTGTCGACTGTCTACAGATTTTGTCAGTGTGCAAATATCTCACTTACTTCCATTCATATTGGTGTATTCCATCTCCTCTTCGACCATTTGGTAGGGGTTTTCATCTGTGGCTCTGTCCTCTTTGTCTAGAGAGGGAGGGAGGGAAGGGTGGGAGGGGAGGGGAGGAAAGGTGGTGGGGATGGAGGATGGGGGATGGGGAGCCCAGGAGTGAAGGGGAGGGAGGAAAGAGGGAAGGAGAGGGGATAGAGAGAAGTGGTAGAGGGGAATGTGGAGGAGGGGTGGAAGGAGGGAATGGAGGGAGGGAGGGAATGGAGAGGAGGGAGAGACAAGTTTTACGTGGCATTTGTGACAGTTCTGTTTTCCAATCTGTTTGAAATATGTCGTAATAAGATTTTGTTCATCGCAGACACAATTATCATCTCGAGTCATTTTATCTATTATGTCCATTATAAGTCCATTCCACTAATTTTGCTACTCCCCAGTACACGCGCAAACACACTTTTAAGTTTCTTTGAGTTCACACCGTTTTGCCAAGTCCGCTCTTTGAATGCGTAACAAGGAAATTATTGGATTGGAGTCTACAGAGTGAAAGATCAAGGGGAAGACCACGTGGAACCTGGAGGAGAGTCACGGAAATTGATGTACAGGAAAGTGGGAAAACATGCAGTATCACCAAGAGGCTAGCCCAGGATAGGAAAGGTGGAAAGTATTTGTTCGTGGCCTATACCCTGATGCTGGGTGAGAAAGCCAATGATGTTGCTGCTACTGCTGCTGCTGCTGATGATGATGATGATGATGATGATGATGATGATGATGATGATGATGATGATGATGATGATGATGATGATGATGCTCTTTTAAGGGTAATTTTGAGTGACCATTTCTCGGTCAACTCTTAATATACGTGATATAGTAATGTGTCAGATGATGCAACATTTATTTAGCTATACATTGGTAGGCTGCATGAATTGGTAATGCAAACCTTTAACACGATGATTGGGTGAATACAATTTCAGGTTTCTTTTTGGACGCCACTGTGCATACAATCTTGACAATCTTTATTCATCTCACAGGGAGAAATTTGTCTTGATTGTTTATAACGGCAGTGAAATGTTACAAAAGTTAGGTGCACTCACGCATACACACAACAAGACAATATTCGATAGGTCGCTTTAGGACAAGCATGCTAACCCAGATTTCAGGGGTTTCCAGAAATCTTGCCCTTCTCCAAAAGTGGGCATTGCACAACCTTTAGGAGAAGTTTAGTTTCATTTTTTGGTAACTTTTTTTGGTTATGGAGAAAACTCTCCTTGTCTTTTAAAGAAACTGAACAAGGGGCAAAAATATTATCTTCGATATTCTCAGAACAGCGTTTTTCGGGATAACCCCGTTGTGCTTAAAAGCGATCATACAACCTTGACAATCTTCATTCATCTCACAGGGAGAAATTTGTCTCGGCTGTTTACATGATGGCAGTGGGATGTGACAACGGATAGGTGCACTCACGCTTACATACAACAATACACAATTCAATTTGATGAGGAAGAAATATATAATATACCGCAAGATCGAGGTGCACTCACGCATACACACAAGACAAAATTCAATTTGAGGAGTTAAAAAGAAGTAAATTTACCAGAAGAACGAGGTGCACTCACGCATACACACAAGACAATATTCAATTTAATGAGTTAAAAAGAAGTAAAGTTACCAGAAGATCGAGGTACACTCACGTATACATACAACAAAGCAAAATTCAATTTGATGAGTTAAAAAGAAGTAAATTTACCGGTAGATCACAGTGCACTCATGCAGACACACAACAAGACAACATTCAATTTGGTAAAATATAAATAAATAATTTACCGCAAGATTGAGGTACACTCATGCATACACACAACAAGGCAACATTCAATTTGATGAGGAAAAAAGAAGTAAATTTACTGGTAGATCGCAGTGCACTCATGCATACACACAACAAGACAACATTCAATTTGATGAGTTAAAAAGAAGTAAATTTACTGGTAGATCGCAGTGCACTCATGCATACACACAACAAGACAACATTCAATTTGATGAGTTAAAAAGAAGTAAATTTACCGGTAGATCGCAGTGCACTCATGCATACACACAACAAGACAACATTCAATTTGATGAGTTAAAAAGAAGTAAATTCACCGGTAGATCGCAGTTTGTCTGTCGGTCCTGACGTGGGCACTAAGTACTCGCAATCCACGTGGTTTCCAGGACGGACGTCTTTTGCTGTGCCTGAGGGAGGAGGGCGGGGGGGGGGGGGGGGTTTGAGGGTGACAATGACGATGACAATCTTTAATCATCTCACAGGGAGAAATTTGTCTTGGTCGTTAACAATGGCAGTGGATCTAGATGGTACAAAGGTTATGTGCACTCACGCATACGCACAATAAGACAGGACATTAGGCCAAGTAAATACATGTCTCGCGTGCTGGGACAACCCGCTCTCTCTCTCTCTCTCTCTCTCTCTCTCTCTCTCTCTCTCTCTCTCTCTCTCTCTCTCTCTCTCTCTCTCTCTTTCTGCCCCCCTCTCTCTCTCTCTCTTTCTCTTTCTCTCTCTGTTCCTTTCTCTCTCTCTCTCTCTCTCTCTCTCTCTCTCTCTCTCTCTCTCTCTCTCTCTCTCCCTCCCTCTCTCTCTCTCTCCCCCCCCCTCTCTCTCTCTCTCTCTCTCTCTGTCTCTCTCTCTCTCTCTCCTGTTTCCTTTGTAGCACTGTGTGTTCGGTAACCTCACTGCAGTTGGTACGAATGAATTTCTATTATCCCTGCCTGTTCCTGCTTTTTTGGAAATGTGGAATAAGGAAAGTTTCAGACTCACAGTCCTAACAAAAATACAAAAAGAGCTCCAAAACACGACCTTGTCGCCGCAGAAGGAAAGGAAGTGATGAAGTCAAAATCAGACGAGCGTCAACTACAGACTTCAACATAAGTTAGGGACCACTTGCAAATACTCTGAGTGGTCTTCTTGGGTCGACCTGCACGTGGGCGTTCTTGGACTGATCCAGTGGCTTGATGGCGCTGCCTCAGGCGGACAATGACAGAATGTAACACTGCAAGCCTTCTGGCAACTTCTCGGGCTCCAACTCTATCCTGCAGCCATGTCAGAGCTCTGGCACAATCAAAGTCTCTCAGCTTTCGTCTTGGTGGCATGTTGATGCGATACTGGATTTTGCGCAAACAGCGATTTATATTGCCACCAAAATGAGTACAGTTCGAGATCGTATGTCTGTTTATGACGTGCACAAGAAATTTTAACTGAGGAATGTACGTGGTGTCGCACACAATAAGTTGATAAAAAAAAAGAAAATGTGGCTAACATTTTCCTAGGATTTCCGTGCAGCGCGTGATGGTTTTGCCCCTTTCAGAAGCATTGCAGTACCCATTGGTAACCCATTAACACTTTCAGAGCAAACAATTTTGCCTTTGAATTACCAAGTTCTATCTGACATTTTTGGCCGTTTTGAGTTACTAAAACCACGTGGTCAGAAATCAAATGATATTTCTGCTCTATCAAAATCGTAAGATTATTAGGAGTCGTTATCAAGATATTCTAAAAAATGCATTCGAAAAAAGCTGGACATGATGTGAAACTCAAAATCTTTGACGCCAAACTTCTCAAAAACTAAATACTGAGCAGATAAAACTTTGTGATTCTGAGGCGGCGAATGGGCACCGACTGTACAAATAATAATAGATAGCATTAAATTGTATAGCGCAAATCCCCTCTCAACAGCAAGCTCTATGTGTTTTAATAATAATAGATAGAATTTGTATAGCGCAAATCCTCTCTCAACAGCAAGCTCTATGTGTTTTAATAATAATAGATAGAATTTGTATAGCGCAAATCCTCTCTCAACAGCAAGCTCTATGTGTTTTAATAATAATAGATAGAATTTGTATAGCACAAATCCTCTCTCAACAGCAAGCTCTATGTGTTTTAATAATAATAGATAGCATTTGTATAGCGCAAATCCCCTCTCAACAGCAAGCTCTATGCGCTTCACAATCGATACCATTACTGTACCCCCAGCAGACCTGAGAACATTCTGAAACAACGTCTACTTCCTGGGAAGCATACAGTGCGAGCAACCACTTATAGACTCTAAAACAATAACATACTGACAAGATCTTTCGCCGTCTATGGACGGGTACCCATTCCCACCTGGGTGAAGTGAGGAAAATTCGTGTAAAGTGCCTTTCCCAAACATACAACGTCGTGAAGTTGCGGGTTCGGAGGTTCGAGCCGTGGGCCCGACGTTGTATGTTCAGGAAAGGATGTGAAAGGAGACAATTTTAGAGAAGAAAATTTTTTGGTCGCTACCCGGAATCGAACCCGGGACCTTTGAATGAGAGGCCAACATCTTAACCCCTAGGCCACAAGAGCCCCCACTGAAAACTCAGATGTCAAAATGTGCTGCATCGTGGTGAAACCAGGCCCTCGTCAAAATAATGTAAACGAAGAAATCAATATTTTCCCATCCGTTGGCCAATTTTTGTAGTTTGTTGGTTATTTTGTTTTATTCTTTTTGGCTCAACAAATTTAAAATCTATTTGAAAACATTTTCATTCCATGTCTCCTTCTTAAAAACGTTGATCAAAGGCACAAAAAAACATGTACATTTGCAGTTTTCGCGAACACAGCAGTTTTGGAAGTGACCAAACTTTAGCGGCCAATTTCTTGCTAATTTTACCCCTGACACCAGGCAACCCCTACCTCATCCAATAGCAAATATCTCGACTTCTACTCAAGATAGATCAGTAGGGGGCTCTCGTGTCCTAGAGGTTAAGGTGTTGGCCTCTCATTCAAAGGTCCCGGGTTTAAATCCGGGTAGCGACCGAACAAATTTCTTCTCTAAAATTGTCACCTTTCACATCCTTTCCTGCTCTCTAGCAATGTTCTGTCGTCTGCTTTCGGCTCCTCTTTCTTCCCCCACCTCCTCACCTCCTTTGCCCCCTCCTCTGGGCTCCTCTTTCTGCAGCCTTTCTACTGTTACTAATTGGCTCCCTCTTACTGCTGTCTTTAAGCCACACCCCTGATCTTCTGGTAGGAAAAATCTACACCTAGCCTTCTCGGACAAGGGCGAAAGAACTTGGAGGTCCCGTGTGCAAGTTGCGCACGTTAAAGATCCCTTGGTGGTCTAAAAATCGATAACAGTAGGCTTCAGCTTCCGCCCGGGCAAAATTCGAAATTTCCTACCAACTGAAAATACTAGGTGTGTCCCGCGCGCTCATATGACCTTATGCAGTTGCGAGCGCCGTAAAACACTTACAAAAATAAAATACAAAAAAAAACCCACCTCACGATTACTAGTCCGGTAGCCTAACCTCTACAACTGTTACTTACAGCCAGTAGTCTTGCTGCTGTCTGAGATGTCGTAGTCATTGCTGCAGCCTGTCATGCCTTCTGTGAAGATAAAATAAGATTAGATAATATATATAAGATAAGATAAGATAAAATAAGATAAGATATATTATTATATTTATTGCCCA